AGCTCTGATGATCAAATCGAGAAAATGTAGGTACATCATACGAACTAACAAAATGAATATTTGAAGTCATATTTGAAGCATTTACCTCCCTCAATATCTGGACCTTTCTTATCTTCAAATTCTGAGATTTGTCGATTCTTAAAAATATTAGAATGGAAACATGCATTAATTCATGTTATGAGTTCTTTAGGAGCATAGTATACACACCAATACTCACCGCAGTTGATCGAGTATTCGAACGTATATAGGAACAGAGAGGGCCGAAGAGAGGAGTCGCTGGATGTGAACAGAACTTCCTCATCAGTAAAATGCAGTAAGACGCAGGACTCGATTCAGTATAAGCGTAGCCTCTCTATGATCTGGAATGCCATTTTATACAACATCACAAGAGCTCATCTGGCATCAATTCAGATGCCTTGATCAAACTTTGGAAGACATTGAGGTTTGACCAACTAATACCAGTGTGGCGGACTTAGAAGGAGTGTATTTCAGGGCGAATTTCACAATTCCCGTTTTCTCTGCATCTCAATATTGCGCTCAAGAAAACCCTTGGGAAAGATTGTTCCCAAGGGACCTTATGTTCCGGTTCCCACAGGAGGCATGAGGTCACCTATTTATGAGAAGCATAAAAACTCGAAGCCGTCTCCACAATTTATTATCACTCTTAGTTGTTATAACGGTGAAACCATCAATCAGTACATGTTTCGAACCTATACAGGTTCATGATCAGCTAAGTATTTGAAATTTCTACAATAAATGAAGAACAACATAACGACAGTTGATAGAAATACTTACATGAAGAAGACTATTCTATAATGGAGAAAAGAGAATTATCAGATGTTACCAATGAATGAATGGTCACAATGACATATTAATAGTAATGCATATCATATATTTAGTAAAACGACAGACGTTTATAACATCCTAGCTATAAATAATTTACGTGTGGGAGGCTCAGAACCTTCATACCCACTAATTAACATCAAAATAAAAAAACACCACATGAAAACGAATGAAAGAGATCCGAACTGAATTGAGTGATAAAGAAGAATTACCTGTCAAAAAAATATATGGAAAAAATCAAATGACATGTAACAGTGACAAGAGACCTGCAAGCACAGAACACAACAGAAGAAAGACCACCACATACACATCAACTCGTGTTCTGAGCTGATTTCTTACCATCTATACATGCCAGCTTGTTACAATAATTTTTGAAAGAAATCTTATGAGTTGAACTTGTAACGGTTCAAATTTCTGAATTCAGAATAATCAGTAGAGCCGCCCTGTAGGTTAGTTATTTTATCAGCATATTGCAGGGATGGTGAGTTTGAGAGTAAGCAGGAGTAAATAAAACCGAGGAGATTTTCACGATCAGGATTTAAAAACGATTCAGATTAGTATCTATCATAAAGCCAACACAAAAGCAAGGTTCTAGCAAGGGACTGTCAGAAACCTAAAAACATCTAAGGCACAGTATATCTATATACAGTTGTCCCACTTAGCGTCGGTCCCTTTGATGTTGGTGTTCAGGAGTTTCATTTTTTACAATGCAGACGTATTTGACACTAATGACATTTCTCCCTACTACAATCTCAACCAAAGCGTCTAAACACTTTGGTCAACATAACAACTATTCACATGAACTGCTCAAAAAAATACAGTCGATGAAAACCATGTTGGGAACCCGAGAAAATTGTACAAATGATAATTTTGCATTTGTGTAATATTCAAGTTACCCAGATCATTCGGACCATGATGAACTATGTTTCAAGTAGATTTTGAACATTCATGGGATGGCAGATGGTCATATTTGGATGTGACAAAATATATTTTCATTTCAAATAGGAAAAAGACAAGATGAAGCATGAGTTTTGTTATTCATGAACCCTGGTACGAATTCATGCGAAATTTCTCTGTAGTGATTTTTGGGGCCAAATATAGCATTATAATTCATTGATTTGAGAATTCAAGATGGCGGACGAGTTTGCCGATTCGATTATATTAAGAGCCAATTATTAAATATATTCCTAATCGAATTTATCATTCAATATTTGAGACACTGTAGAGCCTATTCTTTTTGAATTATGTAGTACTATTTACGACTTGAAGAAGTGAAAAAGTTATTGTGTAGTGTTCAACAAACAAATTTTTCAGTAGGTTGGGTGAAACCCAAGAAATTCGACAACTATAGAAGGGTTGCGTGCTTGTCTTGAACTCGTCGTTTGCGCAGACCTGAGACTGCAACTCCTGGGTCTGCATGTAGAAAATTCAAACCAAAAATCACCCGAAGTGGGATAACTGTATATAGTATACTGTGTCTAAGGTCAGTCAAATTAATCAATTCAATATTTTCATTTCCTTTTCTTGAAATATCGGTAGATGATTCCATAACACATGTTTCCAGGTTTTTGGACAAGAATAAAAAGATCACCTATGACAGATTCACGTCGAGCACTGTCAGACCTTTTATTAATTTTTTTGGTGGTAAAAAAAGCTTTCAAGGCATATTTATCAGGTAATGGTAGAAATTCTTTGGAAAAGCTATAGTTGCATCACACATATCATTCTTCGAGATATGAGGAGACACTCTAAAAAGTACCAACAGAGAGCCGTAGCAAGTATATAAGAAATATATAAAAAATGATGATAAACCGTGAGTAGAAGCCCTGATATTGTTGATATATTTTGGAGCGGTCTGAGTACTGAAATCTACAGTTCATTCCTAAAATTAGAGGATAATTTTAAGCATTTTCCTTTTCTCTGTGCACCCAAGACGGGGGTAATAATTATCGAGTTTGATTGAAGTTAATCGAAAAGTAGATTCTAGATAAATTAAGAATCAGGCAGGCTCATCTCATTTTCAATTTACGTAAAGGTCTATCTCTGCCAGTTGAATACTCGAATCTTTTGATTAGATATTATACCGAAGTAAGAGTTCTCCAATAGTAATAATGTGACCAAAACGGCCTTTAATCACGTATCAATATATTTACTCGAAACGTTTGTTTTAGTATTAAGTTCTTTTATTGAGTTCTTTAAACTTGATGCATATATATTTGCCTGTTTTTTTTTACATAAGTTCGTTGCAAATAACATATGAAAATCAATTTTTGAGTTATTACACAGTTGCTAGTGAAGTAAATATTGCTTTCTATATATCAATTTAATATAAATTTCAAGCTTGGAGCTCCGTTGTTGACTTTTTGTTTATTTCTCCAACCCCTTTTCTGTTTCTTTTCTGGGCTCACTTTTTTTTCATCTATTTCGACTGTAAAAAAATATTTTCCTTACCCACGTCCTGCCCCGACGATAATCGACTAGCCTGGGCAAGGTAAGTTATAAACTACATGAATTGAAACGTTAGAGCGTCGCTGAAATGGTTGTGTAGCTCTTGATGTAGATCACGATGACAAATAAAGCTAATTTTCAACAAGAAAACTTGCTTTCTTTCTCAGGCATGGGTCTTTTCAGCTCATGTGTTATTTTTTCTGTGAAAAAAGTTCATTTCCACTTTTATAATTGCGACAAACGATAATCTTTGGCATAGATTTTTGTCACGATCACAATTGGTTTTCCAGTTTGTATTGCACCCATTTCTGCCAACCCTGTATATCTAAATTCAGTATTGAAATGAGGTCAACAAAGATAAGATAAAATATAATGGGTATATAAGTAATCTGAGGTTGAATAACACTACATATATTTTCAACTCAAAAATAAAAAATGATGATATATCCAAAATTATATGCGGAGAATAATCGTTTGTCGACGGTTCTTATAAAAAAACATTTGACGGAGTACAACCACTTGATAAAATGGAAAAATAGTCCTTCAGTTTTAGAAATAGGGCATGGCGATGGAGGAAGTTCTCAAAGATCATTTTTTCCTTTCTTACCAAGAGATTTGAAAGAGTTCGTAGCCGTCGACAAATCTGAAAAAATGGTGGAATACGCTAAGAAAAACTCTATTCTGCCAACAATGAAAATAGAAAAACTTGACATCACAACGAAACAACTTCCTGCCGATTATATCAATAGGTTCGATCACATTTTTGGATTTTTTCTGATGCATATGGTGAAAGATCCAAGGTACGTAGTAACATATCAAAAACTAGCTGTTTTCTGCCACTTCATTCGCATGGATGTATATTTTTGGCTTTTCTCAAGAAACTTTTTTCTGTACATCCAAAAGAAACACCCGTTTGTCATTTTGAAAATTCAGTACGGCATCTTGTTGATAAAACACACATGCCTATGAAACGTTTCTTTTGGGCGATACGTTCAAATAGAAATCATTATAAAAATATGCATAATAAATGTATTATCATTAACATGGTAATCATTTAGGTCATGACACGTTACTATATTTATATTATACATAACCTTGCAATGCGACAACCATGAAAACGAAACACCTTCGCTGTTATGAATCGGCTCGGTTACGAGCCGTTATGACATATGAATGCGAAAATTTGTTGCCTTTTGGAGAAGGAGAAAAGCATGTTGTTTATCGAAAATCGAATCTTATGTAGAAGTGTTCACAGCATGGAATATTATGTATTGAATGAATGATTTGAAAAAGTGAGTATTTTCATGAGCTCACAGACGATGTACTCATTCCTATGAAATTGTGTTTGCGAAGTATTAGAAGTTACGAAATATCTGGAACACTCTGAAAGATATATTCAATTTCTGACAGCTTATAACTTTTTTTTGAATATTATTTCATTTTCTGTTTATGATAATATAAAAATGAAACATTAACTTTTCATTAATTCTGATTGATCAACCCGAATACAGATTTTCAATTACAGCGGTTCGCCTTTCTTTTCTAGAGTACTGTTCCATGAATTCACCTTTTTTATTTCAATATAATAATACAATATGTTAATATAAGTACACAAAAAATATGCAAATGGCAGAAACGTGTTAACTGTCAGTACGGTATAGCCAAGTGAAAGGTTAAGCAACACTTGGTTGCAGAAACAACTATATTTTAGTACTTCGCCCATGAATTTTTCCTGCTTTTCAAGGTACCTCATGGTGACTTCAGTGATATCCCTATCCTGAGATGAACTGACCGAAACAATAGAGTGCAGCTGGTTTCTGTTGATGAATCCGTGCATTTGTGTTGTTTTACAACCGAGTATCGCCTAACTTTGCACTTGGCTATATGAGCTAGAAACACGTGTCTGCGTTATGCTCATTTTTTTGAGTGCTATGAGTTCATGGGTTTTTCCTGCTTTTGATTATAACTGATACACTTGCTAAATCATCAACTAAATCGAATACTGGACCCGGATGTCACGCAGGTAGCTGAAGCTGCCTCATGGTGACTTTAGTGAATTCCCCGAGATGACATGACCGAAACCACACAGTGCAGCTAGCATCAGTTGATGACTCCATGCATTTGTGTTGTTTCGACAACCAAGTGTTGCCTCACTTTGCACTTGGCTATATGAGCTAGAAACATGTATTGTGTCTGCGTTTTGCTTATTTTTTTGAGTGCTACGTCCATGAGTTTTTCCTGCTTAGAATTATATCTGATCCACTCGCTAAATTATCAACCAAATCGAATACTGGACCCGGATGTCACGCAGGTAGCTGAAGCTGCCCCATGGTGACTTTAGTGATATCCCTAACCCGTGATGACCTGACCGAATCCACAAAGTGTAGCTGGCATCTGTTGATGACTCCGTACATTTGTGTTGTTTTTACAACCAAGTATTGCCTAACCTTGCTCTTGGTTCTACCGTACTGCTGAAAGCTAATGAGCCTAAAACACATATTCTCGGTTTGCAGACACGGGTTTCTAATCCTACCTTGAGTCTAGAGAGAAGATGGACCTCAACTGAGCGACTTCGAATGTCCCGTTCATCCATAAGCGTATTAATACCAAGAGCTCCTCCAACTTTTGATCCCGTGAAAGAATATGAAGCTAGGTAATGCAATCAGCAAGCGACTCTTCTCCTGCTGAAGAACAAGTTATTTTACACATTCATCTAGCAACAAAATCTTGCGCTGCAGAAATCGAATCTAAGACGAAAAACCCCTGCATTACTGAATTCAATGTACCATCACAACTACAGTATATTGTACAGGTTTTGGAAGATAGCTGTGGTGATAGAGGTAGGAGTCTTGCACCGTGAACGTTCTCAATATCGACCAATTAACTGAAATATGTTGTTAGCCTATTGGCCTGGATGGCAACAGGTCATCTGAGAAGATCAATACAGATTCTTCTGAGTGCTAGGTGCATTCAGTAATCTGCAACCAGAGACTACCACAAATACTGGTTTGTCTTGCTCAGTCCCATAACCCATAGCAAATTTTGAAAATTGTGACTTACTTTCCTCAATAGATAATGGTACAATATTGTTCCTATCAAGGAAAATTTCTTCGGACAAAAATAATTCTGAGAATTAAGGTGGTTCAGCTACTGCTTCTGATACTATTCATAAAGAATTATCTGAAATATTTTTCTCTATCATTCAATAATAATGGATTTATGATATATACTCAATGTTTAAACACTGAAATCCCAATTTCATCTCGAAACGTGTGCCCCTAGAGAAAAATGAATCGATGATGGAAAAATATACAATTTTCATTTCAGACAATGTTTTCGAAACATGCACAAGTCGCTGAAACAAGGAGGGTCTATATTTTTGAATTTTTTTGAGCAGACTCCAATCGATGATTCACTCGACAAATTATCGAAGAATCCGGAATGGAACATGTATGGAGCGGAAAACTTGATTTCCCCCTATTACTACAGTTTCAATTCTCGGTTGAACTGGGAGGAAGATTTGAAAGAAGCTGGTTTCCACAATTACGAATTATTCGAAGACAGAGGCTCTTTTGAATTCCGTAATAGCAATGAGTTCGACAGTGAGTATTTTTCAGATTTCTAAAACACAGAACTCATTTTTGAAGTATGTGATGGAATACTTGATAAATATCATTCTATTTCAGATAACCTGCTGTCGGTTTGTAATTTTCTTCCGAACATTCCTGCGGACAAACAAGAAGATTTCAAAGAGTATTACAAAAAATTAACTAGATTAGACGAAACAATCAATGTACGAATTGAAGATGGAAAGGAGATTATTTCTTTCAATTACAAAATGTTCATAATTATTGCAACTAAAAACTGATGATCTAAAATTATCTGATTGATTTGGCCGTTACTTGATGAACGTCCATAGTAATTTCAAAAACTACACCCTACGAGAAAGCTACTGAACCAGCGAAACATGTTGTGATAATATTTTTCAAATAAAGTTTGTAGAGATCAAATCGTCAGGTGAAGTTTTTGAAAAAAAAATTAAAATTAATTAATTTTCTCAGCTTGTAAATGATAATAACGACTTTCAATAAAAATCACTATGGGTATCATAGGAGTTATCGCAAACAGAAGACCTCCCAGTCGATACGAGACGTGTGACAAAAAAAAAATGCAATGGGTTTCTTTCATGCTATGGAAAATGATACTAGTTTGCTTATAGCCTGATCGAGTTAGGAATATATTATACTTATCAAGCCTCATCGGTTCCAAGATCTCTTTATATTAGTGGAAAAAAGAACAAGTCGAAAAGCAATAATTCAAATTGGCCGCGTGTCTGTTGACCAATAAAATGGATCGTGTCTAGAGCGGAGTTGCCAAGTGTACCTGTTGATTTTTAATATCCAATGACAGGCAGACAGACGCTAGTTTTGTTGTTATTGTTGTCAACTCGGTGTGAATACAACTGTTACAATTATCTAATTACAAGAATCTAATTAAAGAAAGGTAGGTATCGGCGGGATACCATTACTACCACCAAAATGGTTGAAATATGTTTCATACCTAGTTGTAAAAACAGATCATCCATACCAGACAAATTTTTCAGTGTTCCAAAAAACGAAACTCTAAGAGATCACTGGTTTTCTTCAGTTGGTCGAGCTAAAATAAAAATTAAATCAAAACTCACCATCCTTCTATAAAAGACAGAGTCTGAAATGAATGTCTATATTTTCTATATTTTCGCTCGAAAACTCAATTGAACCATAAACTATTAAGCTATCTCCCGTACTAATAAACAATTATTTCGACAGTAGAATATTTCAAATAGATCTTCATTGTTTAGAATTTCTTTGGTGATTAGTGTAAAGAAAACTTTCATTGTTTTTACGGTATTATAAGAACGTTAGATTCATACCAGTATGGATCCTTATCTTAGGGAATATACAAACGAACCGATTTTTGCTAAAATTATAGAAAATGATGCAGAATTCATCGCAACTAAACTGAAAGGATTGAATATACGTAGTATATTAAAAAAATCTAGATGAATTGTTGATATTTTTGAATCAATTTAATGAAAAATTTGATATAATTATTCTAACAGAAACCTTTAAGATACACGACCTCGAGAAACTTAGTATGGAAGGGTACGAAACCCTCTACAATAAGGAAGAAATTAGTAAAGATGATGGCGTAACAATGTATATCAAGAAAACTATTAAATATGAGTGTGAAGTACAAAACATTGGAAATATCAGAGTCTTAAAAATGAATTTAACAATGAAACAACACAAAATAAAAATCATTGCCATTTATAGATCCCCGAAAACATGTGCGAAACAATTCATTACCAAACTTACTGGTTATTTACAGAAAGCAAAGAACAAATCTAAAGCAAATGGAACTTCAAACGTTAAAGCCAGTCTCTATATACCTACACAGTAGGTTTAATGGACTGACGCCTATCAGAAAACAACTACTCCCCTGGCTAATACCACGAAGGGCGTTGGATTATATCAGACNGTTATTTACAGAAAGCAAAGAACAAATGTACTCATATAATCATCGGTGACATAAACTTAGACCTTCTTTCTGATAGTGAAATAGTTGAAGAATACAACAATATATTGAACACAGAGGGATTCATTTCATATATTAATGAAGTAACTAGACCAAATAGTGGTACTTGCCTAGACCACATTTTTGTCAAAAGTGACTTGTAAATTAATTCTTATGTCTGCAAAACGAGTATAACCGATCACTACATAATTGCCATAACACTTGATTTGGATAACACAGAGATCGATAAAGGAACGAAACCAAAAAAATCCACTAATTACGGAAAACTTGAACAAGATCTATTATCAGAAAACTGGGAAAATATGTATATAATAGAACATGCCAATAATGCTGCAACAATATTTGTAAATAGATTACGATATCTTATTGAAAATACAATTATAACTGAACCTAAGAAAAAACTTAAAGTAAAAAAATCCTGGAAAACTGCGGAGTTAACAGAGCTCATGAATATAAAAAACAAAAAGTAGGTATCAAATGCTACTAAAATTCCCCGGGAGCAAAACACCTAGAAAAGAATATAATTCATTAGAAAATGAATTAAATAGGTCATTGGAAGCTGCCAAGGAAAAATATGCTCAGAAAATAATAAATAACAGTAAAAACTCAAAAGAACTATGGAAATGTGTCGATGAGATATGCAATAGATCTAGACCTGAAAAAAATACCCGTTATTCGATCAGAGAATGGCTCAGTGATAAAAAATACTTTGGAAATTTGCAATAATTTTAATGAGTACTATGCAGATCTTGGTCAAGAATATGCCCTTGAAATTAAAGAATCGGCTAATTACAATTACAATGAACAAAGATTACAGAATTCAATATATCTATCAGAAACTAATGAAGAGGAGGTTTACACAGTAATTATGGAATTAAAACAGAAGAAATCTTCAGGTCATTGTCAATGTAATTAAAACGCCATTAACTCACCTAACCAACAAATGTTTACAGAAAGGCTGCTTTCCCAAAATTTTCAAAATTGGAATAATAAAACCACTTTTCAAAAATGGAGACAAAACAATAGTGAGTAACTATAGACCTGTAACACTGATCTCAAACATAGCCAACGTAATAGAGAAAATTCTAAAAATAAGATTAGTGAATTTTACAAGGAAATTCAAATTGATATCTGATCAGCAATACGGATTCAGGGAGGGAAGATCAACGAAAGATGCAATACATAATCTAACTACTTGTATTTACGAAGCTCTTGACAAAAAAATTCCAGCAATGTGCATCTTCGTTGATTTATCCAAAGCTTTTGATACCGTCAGTCATACAAAACTCCTGAGAAAATTAGAGAACTGCGGAATACGTGGGAAAGCTTACGACATTTTCGAAAGCTATCTATGTGACCGAGAACAGAGAGTTAGTGTCGATGGAATCGTGAGTTATCCCAAAATTGTTACTTATGGTGTTCCGCAAGGAACGGTTCTAGGACCAATCCTGTTTACAATATATTTGAATGAACTATTGCAGAAAGAAATAATCAGAAAGTTAAGAGGTACACTTTCTAAATTCAATAACTTAAAAAACTTTGACATTCAACATTTGAAAACGTTGTAATGTAAAAAAAGGAAACATCAAAATTAAACACCAACTATTACCAGAAAAAATCAAAAATATCAACAGTCTCACATGTTTGAGAGAGAAGTAAAGAAATTCATTCTGAATACCGAAAGAGCTTTCTGTTCTGATTTTGTTAATCAAACTATTTTAAACAGCAATTTCACTTAAGCATTTGTTGAGCAGACGAAAATAACTATATATTCTGTCTGAAACTACTGTCTCTGTTAATAAGGTTATTGATTGATTCATCATTCATTATCTTTCAATGTCAGATTAAGTATTTATACAGTCAATTACAATGTATCCTTATCACGAACAAGCTATAGATTTCTATGGCTTCTGTGATTATCTTGTTTATTTTCGATAGCACGATAATGAACATATCATTATCATATAATGTCATAAATAAAAGTATTGCAAATTTTTCAAGTAAAATTCATTATCATTTCAAAATCGACTCTTGGTAAATTGTCGGAGTCAGCATTAACAAAAATAAGCTCAACATTCATTTTGAAATTATTTTAACAAAAACACGAAGTTATGTGTGGAAACCAATGACATTAGAAAGAGCACGTTGTCGCATACACTACAGAGGGCGCTAGCTGACTGGATGACAATATGGCTAACATACCAGTAACGTTGAATTTTTCATTTTTGGTGGGTAGCTTGAATGCATATCTGATTTATTTTATTGGGGTTCATGAGCATTCGAAAATCAGTTGAAAATACAGCTCGTTAAATTCTATTCATAATCATATTTCAATATAACTTGTATTATATCAGTTATCAAGACAAATATTATTGTCCATTTTTATGCTCAATTCGTGGATTCAAGCGATTTTATTATTGTATATTTATTTGTTTGCTGGCTTTATTCTTAAAAAAAACGAATAAATAATTACAGAAAATTTTAATTGATCGTTCGTTTTCTCAGGAAAATATAGTATCTACCCATATCAGAATTTATTGATTTATTCGGCATTGAAAATTTATGTCATATCGGATCCATTCTGCTTGTTTTTGCAACATTGAGTTCTATATTTTTCTCAGCTAACAGCTCGCGTAGGAACAATTCGTTTTTTCATCGAGTTTAGTTTGTGTGTGTTTAAGAAGTGAGGATTGTAGAATAAATTGAATATTTGAAATGATTTTTTAATCCAGTTTGCTATATTTTTTCATTTTCATTATATTATTGAATAATGCATAAAATCATAGTTTAGGTGAATATTTTGTGATCTTTTGACTTTGTGTAGCGATTTTAGATATAGAACCCATTTCAAAACATGATTTTTCGTATACATATTATTCCATGTGGAGAATTTTTCATTTATTGAAACGTTAACGAGTTCACATACGCTTCCATAAATAAATCGATACATAATTATAGGCTTGTTGGTTATTTCTATTGTTCCTATTGATCAATTGAACAAGAAGCGGGAATAGGCCCGTGACGTCACTGGCCTACCACATTCGATTTTTAATAATTAATTACGGTAAAACCACGGTACTTAGAGAGCTAAAACAAAGTGCACTATATCAAGCTTCCTCAATATACAGTTTCGAAAATAATTAAATGTAGCAAACTGGATCAAAGTTTTCATCACAACAATTTATACTCAGTATATAAGTTTGCACATAAGAAAGAAGATTCATTTCATATTTCATTCAACGATCAACAAACACGTTTAGATGTCATAGAAACTGTTCAACGACAATGTACCGCACTTAGTAGTATTTGAAATTTTCATGAACATACTGAAGATAAATAATTCCTGCCCTGATAAAAAATTCCATTCGCCTGCTTGTGTGTACATTTACTGAACCTTGAATTGGAAAATAGTTTTTATCTGAAAACAAATAATAGATTAAATATTATTTGAAAAAGGTATCGACCCACACAAGTTCAGATGGAATAAGACAGTTCATGAGTTCGTAGTTCTGCAGATCAGTGCAAAACAGTTAATAACAACTGGATCAAAATGATGATTTTTCCAAAAATGTTTGCCGATAGCAATCGGATTACAACACAACTGATCAAGAAGAACTTGAAAGAATACAATCACTTGATAAAATGGAGAAATCAACCTTCGGTTGTGGAAATTGGATACGGAGATGGCGGAAGTTCTCAAAAATCATTTTTTCCTCACTTACCAAAAGACTTGAAGGAATTTGTAGCTCTCGACAAATCCGAAAAGATGGTGGAGTACGCTAGGAAAAACTCTATTCTGCCAACAATGAAAATAGAACAACTTGACATAACTACTAAACAACTTCCTCCCCAATATATCAATAGGTTTGATCACATTTTTGGGTTTTTTCTGATGCATATGGTGAAAGATCCAAAGTAAGTAGAACTGTTGAGCATAATTTGTATCACTCGTATTAGAAATGAATGATTGACATATTGAAAACAATAGCTTGACGTCAACTGGGGGCAAATTTCGTTTTTTGGGCTCTTGTTAGTTTTTGAAAAATTTCTATACCTACATCTCGATGTAGTTGGTACTAAATTCTCAGTAATGACTGTGACGTTTTTGTCTCTATCTGTCTCTTGCATACAGATACGGAAAAATAATTTCAAGTGCATTGATAGTATTTAGAAACCATATTCACAAATGAAAATTAAATTATATCAATTATGTATAATAATATACAATATGTCCACGGTCGGAGTTGCTGAGAGAAAAAAAAGTCATTCTTATAAATAATCCGCAGGCAAAAAATGTTTATCCCAATTTAAACGTTAATTATAAATTTGTTAATTAATAACTTTTTCTGAATTGAAAGTTAATATAAAAATCCCTATAATTATTAAACNGGAGATGGCTTGGTTGGCTGACGTGGCTGGTTTGCTTCACTCACTCAATCAACCGCTGTGTGAACCGGTGGTTCGAACCGCGTGGTCGGACGATCGATTTTCACTTAATATCGTCCAACCCGTGTTAGTAATCACACATTAAAAGGTGAGACCACGACTTTTGACAGCTGTCGTTCGTAGGGGGCGACAGCTGGCTAACGGAAGAATAGATTTTAACATATTTTTTTAACAGACGCGCAAAAGTTCGAAAGTTGGTTATAAGAGATTTTAGCAAACCTTGAACCGAAACTCTGTCGTTGTCATGGACAAGGCTTCCTACCACAGTAGACAATTGGAGCAGTCACCAACATCTGCCTGGCGAAAAGCCGGTATCATTAAGTGGTTATCCTGAAACAATTTACTATTCGACGATAATATGTTAATAGTCCAATTACTCAATTTTTCAAAGAAACATATACATACGTCAGTTGGAAAAATAAGTTGTCGACGTATTGCCTCGTGAGAGGAACATAATTGTACACCTCCTTACCATTGTCAGCTTAACCCCATCGAGCTAATATGGGCTCAATTTCTTGATTTTTGTGTGAAATGTTTCAAATAATCGCACAAACCATATTATGAATAATCTAAATGCAACAATTATTGATGAAATCATCCTTGTTATCAGGCCTGTGTTGTCTATTAGGTTAAATACATAAATGAATATGATTGTCACCTCAGTTATCAATGATGAGAAAATAAGAAGTGAATTTCATTTCAGACAAGCATTCATGAATATGCACAAGATGCTGAAACAAGGGGGGTCTATATTTCTGACCTTTTTTGAACGAACTCCAATTGATAATGCGCTCGAGAAAATGTTGAAGAATCCAGAATGGAACACGTACGGAGTAGAAGATTTGTTATCACCTTATAACAGTAGCCCTGATCCAAGGCAGGAATGGGAAAGGAATTTGAAAGAAACTGGTTTCCAAAATTACAAGTTCTTTGAAGATAGTGGCTCCTTCCAATATCACGACAGCAATGAGTTTGACAGTGGGTATCTTTCAAATACTGCAATATTTGGTCTTGTTTTTCATTTGGAATGATTCTTATGAGTGGGTTGACATTGCAATAAGTGACTCAATCTTCTAAACAATAATTGAAACTATCAATGTTTTTCAGATTTGATGCTGTCAGTTTGTACGTTCTTACCGAATATCCCTGAAGAGAAACAGGAAGACTTTAAAAAATATTACAGAAAGTTAACAAGGACAGGAAACTTGATCGATGTTCAGGTTGTAGATGGAAAGGAAATCATTTCGATAAATTATAAACTGTTCATCACGTCTGCTTGGAGATCGTGATGTGAGTTTCTTGGTATTTGTTTTCAATAAATAACGTCTGACAAATCTAGTTATTTCTTGTTCTTTGAATAACCATTTCTTCAGGATAGGAACAAGCAAAGAAACTGTAGTGGCAAATTTTTCAACGGATGACATGAAGAAATGATATATTTTGAAGGATATGGCGTAACATGACATCGTATACTTTATCGCAACTGAATTATTTTAGCAGCTCTGTGCGTTATGTCATTGCAGTGAATTGAATAATAATACACTCTATGAACCAGCTGTGAGCAATTTATGTCCAAAACTATTGGAAAGATTTTCAAGGAACTAGGTATGAAGGTGGTTTTTAAAACAAGTCATACACTACAGAGCCTTTTGAGAAGTCCAAAAGACAAAGTCGTGAATTCGAAAAAGTTTGGAATTTACGAAATTGAATGTAAGGACTGCGATGCAAAATATTACGGACAGACAAAAAGATCTGATAAAGTAAGATTTATATCTTACTTAATATCTTATATCACACTTAAAATATGGAAGACCTGAAAAATCACCAGTAGCTCATCATATTTTGCAACAAAACCATTCCATAGACTTCAGTTCATTAAGATTAGTTAGACAAGTTAACAACAACAGGCAACTAGATGCCTATGAGAGTGTAGAAATAAGGAAACACAATAATATTATGAATAACGATGACGGACCTATACCAAAGAGCATACTATATAGATTGTTAAAATAAAATAAAATTATGTTGTTGGGTTTACTAAGTACTACATAAGGACACATTGAAGAAATAAATTTGGATAGGCAATATTGTGAAATTAATTTTTATATAGCTGAAAATTGTTTTATATAAACATATATTGTAAAATAATAGATAAGGCAAAATTGTAAAATCAATTTAGGTTGGTATGCCTGGATGGTTTACCTGTATGAGTTACCTTTATAGCATAAATAGGATTAGCTCGCACTAATTCTTAGTTTTAATCTTCCTCTTTGAAGATGATCACTTGGTGATCGAAACACGTGTCGAAGTGTTGAAAATAACGAATTATGCAATTGGCGATGTGCACAAGTCTATATGCAGTGCATCTAGCCTCTCTCTTCAGAAAAATATGGAGAGGAGGTAGATCTGGAAGGATATCCATGGCCGCTGACGGTGTGGTACTGATGGCCACACAAGCCTGTCTCTGTAAGACAGAGGGCTTCGCTTGGGTCGTTTTCTGTAAAGTTTTCGGCCACCAGGCAATTGCACCATAAGTGATCATTGTTCTGACAATCATCGCATGAATCCAATGGATTTGTTTGGGACCTAAACCCCAAGTTTCACCACAAATCATTCGACATGTCCATAGGGACAGTCTGGCTTTGTGTAAAACTTTTTCCAAGTGAGCGTTCCAGGTGAGTTTTGTTTCAAGGACAATGCCAAGATATTTCATTTCCGTTCCGAATGGAATGACCGGAATGACCTCAGCATTGAGAAAAATGGCGTTAGATTGTCCAATTTTCTCCTCCTGGCCCCAACTGTTCCCCTACCCTTTCCGACGTGGACCTAGTCAAAATGACAAGGTCATATGCTTGAGTTTGCACAGGGACTCCCATAAACAACGGAAAAATTAGTCAACATTGAAGTTCTATCTTTCAATCTTTTCTGCAAAATCAATAAATCTCACCGTAGAAAAGGGAAGATTTCTAGATGTACTGACAGTATTGAAAATAATACCTAAACTTAGGGCAGGCGATCCAAAAATTGTAGATAATTATAGGGTCATCTCATTTCTCAGTCCATTTTCGAAAGTATTGGAGATGCATGTCTAAATTTTTTAGGAAAATTTAACCTGTTTGGCAAAGGGTCAGCCAACCTGGTTTTCGTGAAAAAAAATATACAGAAACCACAACTTCGTGCTATATGTATACGATAACATTATGTCGTCGAACCGCTCGACTACCGACCGACCCTACCATTGACCGTAATAATTATATGCTAGGAATATTTCATGAGTGTGCCTTTGACATTCTTGATCCACACAAGTTGGATGCTTTGGGTATATTAAAATTGGAACAGAATTTTCCAAAGGCGAAAAATTTTATTTAGGGACCCCACAAGGAGGTATACTCAGACCTCTTCTTTTTCTCTTGTATATGAATGACTTGCCTAACTTTATCGGAAGTGGTGTGTTGTTCATGTATGCAGACGATACTTCAATACTGGTTACAGGAGATACTTCCCAAAAAGTTTCCATAAAACCTGACAATGTTATTGAAGATTCTGTACTTTGGTGTAATATCAATCAATCAATTTTCAATTCGGAAAAAACAAAATACATGCATATATGGTTGGCCAGTGAAGAAATTACTCTTCAAATAGATTATTTCAAGGTACATATGAGCCTAAACTATGAATATGTTGGCACGATGATTGATTGGGGGACGATGATTGTCGTTCGTAGGGGTGCGATAACTGGTTAACGGAAAAAACATATGTTTTAAATGTTTATAATAACATTAAAAGTATCGAAAAAGATGGATTCGAATAGTCTATAATATTCCTGCATCCAAGCCGTTCCTGAAATGCTACACAGTGACCTTGAACGTTCCAAACTATTCCACAACATTCAGCTATTCAATATTTCTTTATACTGTTTAAGTGAATCGTTTGCTTGAAGTTGATTCTGAGGCAGAATATTTTTTATATTCCTCATGAATTGAAGTTATGTATTCTTTGCAGTTTACCGGCCTATATCTAATTCAAAAACTGAATTTTTGGAATGCTACGATCCTTACGAATATTAGTCTCTCCTTTCACACGGCCTGAATTTTTGATAAATATAGGATACTTTCTAGAGTATTCTTCATGGAAAATTGAACGAAATTCTGGGCGTCATCACACTTGAACTATACATTACTGAAACATTGTAGGTGCAAAGTCTGAAAATTCAACCTTTATTATATTTCAATGGCAAGTAAGAAAAACAAAGTTTGCATAATATGGGTATTATTATAATGGGTATTATAATTAGTTCACAGGATTATCTATATTTTCCTTCAATGTATGTAGTTTGTCACCTACTCACGTTGGACTGGCTCATTTTGAATAAAAATGCTATTAATAGTAATAATAATAATAATCGTCTTTATTGATACAACCACACAAAAAAATAACAATATCAAGTTCTAACTACATATATGAAGTTATAGTAAAAGGCGAAGTTCAATTTTCGCAGATATGCGAAATTGTTCTTCCACTTAACCTAAAAAAGTCTCTGCATGGGTATTGGAGTAGCATATCATTAACATGAGTATATGAATACATGAACTGGCGATGATACAAAACTAGGCAAACTATTATCGGTCAGGAATCGCCCAGAGAGGAAAAAAAATGAAGAAGATAGAAAAGAGGAATTGTGAACCGTTCATCATGTTATTGATTTTGAAAAAATATAATTTCAATTTGATTTTAAACTGTGAGGGTGGCAATTTTTTCAAAAGTTCATGAGTAGCATTGAATACTTCAGCTATCTGGTAACTGAATGAGCGTTTGAATAATTGGGTTTTGAAAATGGGAGGTGTTAAAGAGCCTTTGAACCTGATGTTAATATTATGAACATCGGTTCGAAACGTCACTTTCCTATGCAGGTATGAGAATCTTGTGATAGAGGCAGGCAGCATGTAGTTTTCTTCTATTCTCCATATTTAGCCATGTTACTTCCTTCAGCTTGAGAGATATTCTCTTTCTTCTTCTTATTCCATATATAAGTCTCAAACAAGAATTCTGGACTTTCTGAATTTTCTGTTTACAGTAACTTGTCAGGTTGGGCCCATAAAGAGTATCTGCAAAATTCAATTGTGCTAGTACTAAGCTCTCACACAACATTTTTTTCAATTCAATTGATAGGCAGTGTCTATTACCATATATCAGTTTGAGGAAGGCATAGGCTCATTGAATGAGTTTGTTGGTAAGTTTTTCAAACCTCATATGAGAATCAAACCCCAAGATTTCTGGCTTCATCAACAACACGAAGTGTATCTGCATTTATGTGAACTTCAACTGAATTGATGATTTTACTCCTATTGATTTTTGACCCGAAAATGATAACTTTAGATTTTTCTGTGTTAATAAATAGCGAGTGTGAAGTTGCTATTCAATAAAGTGTCTAAAATCTGAGTCTATGATTTCACAGGCTTCTTTGACATCTTCTGGATAAAAACAATGATAAAATTGAGTGTCGTCAGCGTAAAAATGTACATTACAGTTTTCAAGGTTGACGAGTAAATAGTGAAGAGCAATGGACCCAAAACTGATCCTTGTGGTACTCCTGCCTTCAGTTCCAGATCATCCGACACTTGAGAATCCAACCAAACGTGCTGCTTTCTACCTTCCAGATAATTGCTCATAAGTTTAACAGACTGTATATTTGGCATCAGTGAGTTTCTCTCAAGATATTCTCTCAACTGTTATTCCATTGCCTTTTCTAAAACTTTTGATAATGTTGGCAAAATACTGATTCCACGCAAGTCTCTTAACTCAGTAATATTACTTTTTTACGGCAAAATCTTAACCACTGCACTCTTCCACACAGAGGGATAAACGTTTTCAGAAAGACAGGTATTTATTATATGGGCTATATAGGTGATAATATGAGGGCAGCATAATTTAATTAATCTCAAGTTCAATTGACCACATCCCATAACATTTGTATAATAATGAACGTGTCGTGCTTTCGTACACTATAATGTCATTTGAATACTCATTCTCAATGTGCCTTATTTTATGTTTCTTCTCCCTCAACTTAAGAAGAGATTCTGTAAAGTATATCATCCACTACGTTCAAAGGAGACTTGAAACAAATTCATGTGAAATGTCATGTGAAACGTCGAACTGACACCAGTCAAAACAAAATCAAAGAATCAAAACTAGCGGCTTGCACTCATCTTCAATGCTACCATAAACTGCTACAAATGCTCCTCACTGACAGGGGGGGCCAGAAGTGGAAACTCAATTCCCCGATCACGATGGAACTTCAGGCGGGCTGACTGACCCAGGTATTCCTTTGACCTTGATAAATGCTTAGGGTAGATACCGCCTACCAGCGGAAACTACGAAAGATTCATTGGGGCAGTAAAAAGCTCATACCCAGAAGGTACCGCAAAAAAAGTATTCCTGAATGGTCTCAAAAGAGTGAGGCCCTATAACAAAACTTCCTTGATACCGGTGACCAGGAAATAGCAAATTAACTAATCAGCAGCCTGAATGCTGCATGCCAACAAAAGTGGACTGAAACTGTCGAAAGCCTAAACTTCCAAACATCGAGCACGCAGGCATGGTCACTACTGAGGAAGCTGGGGGACGGTGCACCAAAGCATTGACAAACAATAGCCGTAAGCTCGGAAAAACTAGCCTCAGATAGTAGCTACATCCAGAACAACAAGGGAGAGCACACACCAAACAGATAAAAAGAGAACCTAAAGCCCTAAAAGACGGAGCCACAGAAACGGAACACTTCACCCCTTTTCCATTGAGAAAGTGTCAACAACATCTACCCCAAGTTCCTAATCCCAGCAGCATTCAAACACTCTAACATTACTGAAACCAGATAACAGCTAACAGCCCAAAAAGCTACATACCCATCGCTCTACTGTCCGTACCCTATAAACAACTGGAGAGACTTGTCTATAATGGAATCAGCTCAGTGATCCTGGAGGCAATACCAGTTGAGCAGGCGTGCTTTCGGCCAAAACGATGTTGTGCGGACCAAGTCCTGTCACTTACCACCTATATCGAAGTGGGATTCCAACGAAAATTAAAAACCTCAACTACATTCATTGACCTCACGGCAACCTATGAAACCCTATGAAAGAAGGAAATGATCTGCAAGCTTCTCAGAAAAACTCCCTGCAGGCGAGAAAACCATTTGATATCAGATCACCAAAGAAACTCAACAACCGCTTGCTACAGGTATCAGTGCTTGCCCCACTCCTCCCCATTTCATATATAGCGGATATGCCGGCAACAAGGTCAAATAAATTCGGGTACGCCGACGATTGGGTGATTGCAACAAGATGTAACTCAATCAAACTATCTGAGGAAATCTAAACAGCAGATCTGGAGACAATGGGTAAATACTTCCACAATTGGAGACTCCAGCCAAATGCTTCCAAAACAGAGGTTAGCTGCTTCCAACTCAATAACAAACTAGCCAGAGCAGAGCTTAACATACGATTTGATGGTAGCAAACTAACCCACAATAAAACACCGAAATACCTGGGAGTGAATCTTGATAGAACACTGTCACTTGAACAGCAGCATTCAAACACTCTAACATTACTGAAACCAGATAACAGCTAACAGCCCAAAAAGCTACATACCCATCGCTCTACTGTCCGTACCCTATACACAACTGGAGAGACTTGTCCATAATGAAATCAGCTCAGTGATCCTGGAGGCAATACCAGTTGAGCAGGCGTGCTTTCGGCCAAAACGATGTTGTGCAGACCAAATCCTGTCACCACCTATATCGAAATGGGATTCCAACGAAAATTAAAAACGTCAACTACATTCATTGACTTCACGGCAGCCTATGAAACTCAATAACCGCTTGCTACAGGTATCAGTGATTGTTCCACTCCTCCTCATTTCATATATAGCGGATATGCCGGCAACAAGGTCAAATAAATTCGGGTACGCCGACGATTGACTGCTTGCAACAAGACGTAACTCAATCAAACTATCTGAGGAAATCTTAACAGCAGATCTGGAGGCAATGGGTAAATACTTCCACAATTGGAGACCCCAGCCAAATGCTTCCGAAACAGAGGTTAGCTGCTTCCAACTCAATAACAAACTAGCCAGAGCAGAGCTTAACATACAATTTGATGGTAGAAAACTAACCCACAATAAAACACCGAAATACCTGGGAGTGAATCTTGATAGAACACTGTCACTTGAGGAACACCTAACTTGAACCGCCAAAAGATTGAAATCCAGGAACAATATAATCCAGAAGATATGTGGTACCACTTGGGGAGCATCAGCTTCTACGCTGCGCTGCTCCGCTCTGGGACTTTTCTTCTCGACAGCTGAATACTATGCCCCAGGTTGACTCGAAAGTCCGCACGCAAAGAAGGTGAACGTCCAACTGAATATTACTATGAGGATGATCGCTGTTGTCATGAAGTCGACCCCACCTAGTGGCTCCCAGTACTAAGCCTTACCCAACCCCCAAAGCTGCGACAGATAAACGCCCTTACACGAGAGTACAAAAAGTTCATAGAAAATAGAAATTTGACAATACATCAAGACATTGAGGACGCTAACCACAATCGTATCTGCTACAGAAATCCACCGACTAAAACGACAAGTGTCCTCTCATTGCGGCCCTGATGAAAAACTACATCCGTGTAATTTTGTCTACTTTAGCTTGACCTCGGATTGGAATATAGTTTAGATATTTCACACTTCAATTATGACATAATTGTGAGAATTGAATATTGTCAGAGAACAACATTGAAACATATTTTTCAGACCTAGTTATGTGAGGCCACATGTTCAGATAAAATAACATAGTTCGTGAGTTCGAGTTCTGTATATCAGTGTTTTCAGTAAAAAAAAAGTCAACAAGAACTAGGTCAAAATGATGACTCTTCCAAAGTTATTTGCCGAAAACAATCGGATAACAACACAACTGATCAAGAAGCACTTGAAGGAATACAATCACTTGATAAAATGGAGAAATCAACCTTCGGTTCTTGAAATCGGATACGGAGATGGCGGAAGTTCTCAGAAATCATTTTTTCCTTACTTACCGAGAGACTTGAAGGAATTTGTAGCTTTCGACATATCCGAGAAGATGGTGGAGTACGCCAGAAAAAACTCCATTCTGCCAACAATGAAAATAAAACAATTTGACATAACTACTAAACAACTTCCTTCCCAATATATCAATAGATTTGATCACATTTTTGGGTTTTTTCTGATGCATATGGTGAAAGATCCAAAGTAAGTAGAACTTTTAAGCATATTGTATGTATCACTTGTATTGTATCACAAATATTGAAAACAATAGCTAGACGTCAACTGAGGTGGAATTTCTTTTTTTCGCTTCTGTTATTTTTTGAAAAATTTATAATCAGATTTGCGTATTGTGTGTGCCGATGACCAGTCCAATGTCGAAAGTCAGGACTTTAGTCTATTTTAAGGAATACGGCCAATTGAAAATCAAGAAATTGTCTTGGTGTCAAATCTTGCAATGAATTTTGAAGCAGATATCTTCAACTGACTGATTTCAAATTTTCTATAAAGGATCGTGTTTTCTAAGTACGGTTCGATACTTCAAAGGGTGATTCGTTGGGTCGTTTTGAGAAAAAAGTTGCTAAGAACATATATGTCCCGAGATGATTCGTTTCAGAAATACTTGTTTTCGAGAAAAAAAATCAATTTAAAAAACTATCCATGGACAACATGAAATGAAACCAAAAGTAAATAGTAAACAATTTCGATCTCAAAGTGAATGAGCAAAATATCCACTTTTTGATAAAATACACGACTGCAATCGATTTGTCATTGATTGTCTGACACGTTCAAAAATACCTGGAATATTCCTTATGACATTGCAATTGTCAATTATTCGATTTCTCAAGTCATTCACATCTAGTACATGAGTTTTATAAACGAAAGCCTCCAGATGACCACATAAATAGAAACCTAGAGGTGTCATATCAGGACTGCGAGCTGGCCAATTTTGAGGTCCTGCACGTCCAATCCAGCGATTAGGGTAGGTGATGTCGAGATGCTGACGAGCAAGAACACTAAAATGAACCTGTGGTAGATTAACGATGCAGAAAAACTCAAAGTCGTCTCCACAATTCAATATTACCCTCAGATGTTAGAACGGTAAAACCATCGATTAGTACATGTACCTATGTAGGTTCATAACAAGCAAATTTTTAAAAATTATGGAATAAGATATGTCATTGTGACCAATTATTTATTAGTAACATGTGATAATTTTTTTTCTCCATTATGAAGAAAATTTCTTATCCATAATTTTCAAAAAATTTGCTGACGATAAATCTATATAGGTTCGAAACATATACTGATTGATGGTTTTACCGTTCTACACTGAAATGAGCTGGAGCCTCGTCGTGAATGAACCACATATTGCCTCTTACAAGTACCAGCACTTCTTGTAACAAAATGGGCAAATGATCTCGCAAAAAGTCTATGTGGGATTCACCTATTAATCTTGCTGGTAGAAAAAGTGGGTCAGTAGGTAGTCACCAATCATTCCTTACTAAACGTTCAGCGAACATTGTTGCTGAAAATGACTTTTTTTAATAAACGTGGGGATTTTCGACGGCCCAATAATGGTCTATGAGAAAGTTCATAAAAGCATCTCGTGAAAAATTTGCTTCGTCCATAAATAAAATATTTATAGGAAAATCATTATTGTGTGCCATCGTATGAATCAATCACCTGCAAAACAATAATCTTGGGTGAAAATCCCGAAACGGTGGAGCTTGGATCCGCTGTATGTGATATAGACATAGGAGGTTTCATTTTAGAACTGTCTATAAGGTTTTTGGGCTGACTTCCACCCGCGATGCAATCTACTATTCGAAGGATCTTCATCTATCGCATCAAATACAGTTTCTTCTAGTTCAGGTATTGTTACAGTTTCTGGTCTTCCACCACCTGCATTTTTATTAAAACTCCCAGTTTCACATAACCCTGCATGTAGCGTTCTGAATGTTCCACCACATAGAGTTACTCTGTTAAGATATCTCTCCTGTTAAATTCTTGGTGCTTCGTTCGCATTTCCATTTGCTAATCCATAAATGAAGTGCGTGTTATCCATTTCAGCGTTAGTGAAATTATTCATGATAAATCACTGCTAACTGGCAACTGTGTTGTTCAAAAATTAAGTTGAATTTTCATTTTTCTCAAAAAAAATTATTTATTCATCAATTTCAACTTTTCTCCCTCCAAAGTAGCCTCCCTCTGATTTAATACACTGTTCCATTCTCATTTAAGCTCATTTTATTCTGTATCACACTGTATGTATTTATATTGACACAAGTACCTTCTAGTATCGGGCGTGCGTGTGTGGTACCACGAAATATTGAGAGAAGAAATAGATTGATCGATGTAACCCTCAGCTACTGTTGTACACGTCCATCCTCCGTGCTTCTCAATATCCATTATACTGGCTCCTGATTCTGCTAGCAAAGAAGCAGAAGACCTTCGGAAACAGTGACCTGTATATTCCTTTGGTTCCGTGAGGTTCAGAAACTCAGAAATGGTAGAGTGAATTTTCCCAAACGTGTCTTTACCAACTGGGTTGGCACTGTATGTATAATTTTAGTATTTCAGAAAAAAACGTTAATGATTGATAACAGAAGGACGTAATGCAACGTATTTATTAAAATAGTCAATGTTTTTTTCAACAATGCAAAAAGAACGATCTATTTTAATTTTTGTATTTGGAATTTGAACAAACAATGATTTATCCAATAATTGTATGTCTTCTAATGATAAATGGCACAGCTCTTCCCGCCTGCAGGCTCCATATATACCTGAAATAGTAGCAACTTCTATCATCAAATAGTTTTCATCTGCCGCTTCATTTATAAACCTCCGGACTCGTTCAAACGTAATAGTATCTGATACTTTGCGTCTATAACTTTCCTTTTTCCGCTTTAATAATGCTATTACCTTGGAATATTTGCTTATATTAACACCATTATCAACGAGTGNTAATAGGTGCTGTAGACTGCACCCACATTAGAATACGTTCTCCAGGTAAAACATAGCAAAAATATTTTGAATTGCTCCATTGAAAAAATATATTGATGCTTCGAAACTGCAAAGTTTCGCAACTTTCATTTGATGACTGATGTCATCTTTCAAAGTCTTCGTTTACAATTTTTACTCCACTTCAGTTCAGCCTCTACACTTTTTTATGTGCATGATGGAGTTCACCTGAAATTTCCTCTTCGTTAGATGAAATAGTTGATATGGTGTCATGTCAGTGGAATTCTTCAAAAAACCTGGAACGCCATATTCAGCTACGAATAACGGTGGCGATGATGGCGTTATTCAATTCACCCCACACATGTGGCATACTTTTTTCCTCTATTTGTTTCTTTAGATTGGTGCGCACATGGATAAGGGCATATCGTCTTCAGAGTCCTCCTGTTGTAATTCATCTTCACTGTCCATTGAGAACATTTCACCGGCAATTTCGTTATGATTATTATTTTCGTCTGGATCTATAGCATCAGATATAAGTGACTCATTATCAGATGGTAAAGAGTCGACGTAAGCATCGTCCAGCAGTTCATCAAATTTTTTCGAGGTCATACCGACTAATCTGAATGATCTTCCTTCTTTCTCATTTGCCATTATTCTGAAAACCATCAGGTAATTTGAAAAATATTTTACGTTGCAGTGGGACGGTGGTCCAAAAAAACTACCACCAAATCTAAATAATTTTTTCAAACTTCTAAGACAATTTTCAAACAAAGAATGGATTGTACTCACCAACAGTATAGTAGAGAATAATATATTAATATGTATATGACAACAAGTTGCGTTATTTCACTGATAACTATGATTCGATGTAAACAATGAACCTAACCTCCAATCCGCAGTTCGAGAGACTGAGTCTCGATAGGAAAACCAAGCTCGCGCTAAAATCATGACGTCACTAAGTCACGTAGCAACCTACGGAAGCATTGGCGATGGTGAACGATAGAATCAACCACCATTCCAGCTAAGAAAATATTTACTGTAGCTGGTCCAAATCGTGAACCACCGCAACAATTGGGATGTTTATTATGTGTTTCAAATCATCGACCACCCAACCAATAAGAGTTAAATGAAACGCGAGAGCTGTAAACAATACTGTTTGTTGGTAACCAGGTTCCGCGTCACCTAACACGGCCACTTCACAGCAAATGCGATAACATGAAAATAATTAACTGAGAAGAGATGTCAAAATGTGTTTTTATGAAAATGTTTAATTCATTTATTTCATCATGAAAACAGGTTAGATGTACAAAAAAATTTTATGATATTTGTGTTAAAAGTAAGTTATACTTTATTCGTGAAATTGCCCAACTCGCTACGCTGGTTTCTCAAACTTTTTCACTCACAAAATAAAACCTTGCTTTCAACACTCATATCATAAAGAGCTATTTTTGAATACGTTACTCATTAATTTTTATCAAATATTGGTCAATTCCATCACATACGTAAAACAATAATTGAATTGTGATAAAACTAGAGACTCACATAAACTATATGATCTGTTAGGGTGAATAAATAAATAAATATGAGAAAGTGTGACAATTGTCCCTCCAATTATCAATGATGACAACATAAAAAATGAATTGTTTTCATTTCAGACAAGCATTTATAAATATGCACAAGATGCTAAAGCAGGGGGGGTCTATATTTATGACCTTTTTTGAACGAACTCCAATTGATAATGCGCTCGAGAAAATGTTGAAGAATCCAGAATGGAACACGTACGGAGTAGAAGATTTGCTATCACCTTATTACAGTAGTCCTGATCCAAGGCAGGAATGGGAAAGGAATTTGAAAGAAACTGGTTTCCAAAATTACAAGTTCTTTGAAGATAGTGGCTCCTTCCAATATATCGACAGTGAGTTCGACAGTGAGTATCTTTCAAATAGTGCAATTTTCAACCATATTCTTCATTTCAAATGGCTCATATAATATAGAAACTATCGATTTTTTCAGATTTACTACTGTCAGTTTGTACGTTCCTACCGAACATCCCTGAAGAGAAACAGGAACAATTCAAAAAATATTACAAAAAATTGGCAAGGACAGGAAAATTGATCAATGTTCAGGTTGTAGAGGGAAAAGAAATCATTTCGTTCAACTATAAAATGTTCATCACATCTGCGTGGACATCCTGATATGTGTTTTCCTGGAATTTTCAGCAATAAAGAGCGTCTGACGGATTTAGTTATTCCTTGTTCTTTGATCCAAGCGAAGAAACTGTTGTGGCAAAATTTTCTAAGGATAGGTTGAGAAAATTATATATATTTTGAAAGGAATGTATGAAGATAAAGAATGAAGAATCCAAAATCTATTTTTCTCAAACATACTATTGTACATATTCGGAGTGATTTTGATTGATAGTAATTATCACGGTATCTTATAGTTTGTAGATATTTTGTATTATTTTGTGTTCTGTAATGTTTCGATTTTTAGAAAAAATTTATGGTGAGTCTTGTGTTTGTTTGGCAAAGAATTCATTGCTTCTCATAATTTTTTCATTTGGTGATGCTAGAAGCATCACCTAGGGATTGCTCATTCTATTGGATTGAATTCTGTTACACAACAGAATCAATTCTTGAGAAAACAATAGTTTTCTTGNTGCGACAGCTGGTTAACGAAAAAACAGATTTTAAACAGTTTTAAACAGAAACCAACCCTTCTTCAGGTTAATTTTCTGTTGGTGTGTAGTATTCCCATAAACTGATAGTTATAGGATTCTGGTAAGATATTCGAAGCAGGAATGTAAGTTTTTTATGTATTCGAAATAAAGCTTTGTAGAATTTCATACGACATAAAATGTCACCACCCGAAGACGATTGTAGATACTAACAATCGAAACATCGTGAAGTAACTTGACTTGAAGTATTTAAATCTTTTTTTTTTGTTTAATTTTTCAATTTTAAATTTTTTGCCTGTATTTTACTTTAGTGTAATTTCATTCTAGGTTTTTTTGCTTCATATAATTGTCATTTTCAGCTACTCATTTTTAATTTTCAATTATATTCGTTATTTTAGGGATTTTATTAAATCATTCTATATCGAATTAGACAATGGAAGTCCAAGCTGATGAAATTGGCCATGAAACATTGTCAACCACCTTGAAACATGAGCTATGTAGGTTAGATAATGGATATATCATCAACATACCTTGTTTCGTGTCAAGTTGTTGCTAGTTTTTTTTCTGATTATATTTTGAAAACGCATGTCTCTTCTTTTAGGATACCTTGAAATATATAGATCAAATTCGTTAATATAAAATTCATTTTCATTCACGGACTAAACAAGTGAGATGACCTGTGGTTATATCTGAGATTTTTTGAGGTCAAAAAGATAACAAGCTCTCTATATATCTTTGTTTTCAATACAAATAAAATAAGTTAGTTTTACACAACGTTGAATGAGTGAGTCTTGCTCAATATGAAGCTGATTTATCCTGAATTGTTCGCGGCCAACAATCAAGTTACAACAGTTATCACAGAAAGAATATTAAAAAAATATAGTCATTTGATAAAATGGAGAAACGAAGCCACAATTATGGAAATAGGATATGCCGACGGAGGTAGTTCTCAGAGATCATTTCATCCTTACTTACCTTCCAACCTGAAAGAATTCATAGCTGTGGATAAATCCGATACGATGTTGGAATATGCTAAGCAACACTACATGAGACCTTCAATAAAATTTGATCAGCTTGATATAACGACGAAACAAGTTCCGAGCAAATATTTGAATAGATTTGACCATATTTTTGGGTTCTTACTTATGGACATGGTGCAGGATCCAAAGTGAGTAGAAGTATCTGTGGAACATGAGAATAAAATATTTTCTTTGTTTTTATATATTACTAGTACTATGTTGGTGTATCGCTGCTGTTTTGACAGAATCAGAATGAACGAACTTAGGCATGCGCAGCGTTATAGAACAGTGCCTTCAGAAAATTTTTCTTCAGCGCCATCTAGTGGCGAGTTACAGAAAAATTAATAGCATAAAAACCTTCTCTATGAAAAATTACTTATACATGTCAAGTTTCATCACGATCGGTTGAGCGATAAACGGCAAACAATTAAATATT